ATTTATTCCTCCTTGAACTTTTACTTAATGATTTCTGAAACATGGTTATAGATTATATACCTGTGCAAATAATCAACTTCTGGAAGGCAGACATCAACCTCAATGTGTAACTCAACTGCTTGCTACAGGTCCTCAGAAAATTTCCTGTTGTTGAACATGAAGGATAAACCAATAAGTAGAGACACATGTATACAGTTTCTAAATTGATATACCAAACCTCTTTCCCCAATTCTTAGAGGGGGAAACACGTAAGCATGAGAAGATGCGTGCTGATTCTGTCATTCTATCTGCCAAACACCAGTTTTTAATCTTTGAACACTTGTTTGTAAAACTGATTTGACACAAGGCATGGTATTTTCAAACCACTTTTCTAATTATTTCTCTCTGGAAGCATTCTGTAAACAATATTTTGTTGCTTGCTTCTAAAATTCTAAATATTAGCCTGCTTTGTTGTTAAGTGCAGGTCATTAAAATCTCAATCAAATCTCTATCACGGCTGTCAAATAAGTCTAGCTCAATTCTGTTTACTGTGCACCAGCCACACCAAGGCTGTAATAAGAAATGCCGACCATGGTCACGACAATTCAGAACCTGAGCTCTTTTTAAAAAGGCAGCAACATCAACAGACATATCTGAAAGCATTTCTTCCAGGAACTACTTTTCAGTGACTGTGCACACAAAGGACGGAGACGGAGATGAGAAAACAGCAGGTGTCTTGGCAGAATCAGCAGCCTGCTCTGGGGAGCCTAGGGGTTTGCACAAGGAAAACCCAGCCACAGCCGTAAGGTTTTGTTGACAGCACCTGCATGAAACTCTCTGAACTTGAACACTCAAGCCAAATATAATTAAAGCACCGAGTTTTGCTAAAGGTTCAAACATGAGCATTTGGAAGCCTTAAAGCCAAGTGGACAACGAGTAGTGTCAAATGCCAAGGTCTACAGAGAAGAGCCCCCATCAGCCCAGGATCAGAGCTTTGCCAGGATGCATGAAATCCTTGAGACTGTATGAGGTACCAACAGGCCATGTCCAGCAAAACCATAAAGAGACAACGTAGTACTTGGTGGCTTGTTTCCACATCTGACCTGTCATTCTTTTTTTCTGGAGCCTCCTATTTGCAACTTCTCTCAGGAAAACATAGAATATTAACCACGGTTTTACAGAGTTGTTGCTTATCCAGGAGAATTTGGAGATGGGACTTGAACTTGGGAGTTCAGGGAAAGGCCTCATCCTAATGGTCTCACACTTCACACTGGCTGAGTGTGTGCTACCTCTGTGCACGTCCACGGGTGCTGGCAATGGGTGCTTTCCTCAACCTGGCTTTGGGTCTGTCTTCCTGTTCCTCCAGCAAGCACTGGATTTGGGCCTTGGCCACAGGACGATGCTTTTCACCACCTGACCTCTTCCAGATGCTCACTCCCACAGCACAGTGGGGTCTGAGAGAAGAGAAGAATGAGAATGCCATCATCATGTATCTGAGCTTGGGAGAACAAGAACGCCTAATGAAATTGTTCATCATTGCCAATTAAGACAAATAATTGAAGATGGTTACTCAACAATTGAAAACTCACTTAAAAAAAGTGAAGCCTGCCCAGTGTGGCTTGGTGGTTGAGCATCAACCTTATGAACCAGGAAGTCACGGGTTCGATTCCCAGTCAGGGCACATACCTAGGTTGCATATGGGAGGCAACTAATCTATGTTTCTCTCTCATATCATTAGTTTTCATTTAGAATGAATGTGTTTGTTACCACAGCCGATATCTTGCATAAAGCATTTTCTCTGAAACAATAGTTTTCTGTATTGTTCTCCTTTCATTACCTTAAAGCAGTGGTTCTCAACCTTGGCCGCACATTAGAATTACCTGGGAATCTTTTTAAAATCCTGATTTCTGGCCCTCATCCTCCGGAAATTCTGTTTCTTTGTTATGGGGTGGGGCCACAACATTAGTAACCAAGAAACAGAATTTCCGGAGGATGAGGCCCAGAAATCAGGATTTTAAAGAGATTCCCAGGTGATTCTAATGTGCAGCCAAGGTTGAGAACCACTGCCTTAAAGCCTAGCCAAGTCTCAATAAATACTCTGCTTTAAAACTTCCACATGTCCTTGGGTGAGGACTAAATAAATAAAATAAATTGTGCAGGAGGTAGCTGATAGATGTTGCTCACATTGATGTTTCTCTCTCCCTCTCGACCAAAAAATCAATAAAAAATATATTTTTAAAAAAAGTCGTAATTCCTGGAATCCAGAAATGGAATGGTAGTGGTCAGGGACTGGCAGGGGGATGGAGGTGGAGAATAGAAGTTACTTACTAATCAACAGGCATAAAATTTCAGTTAAACCAGATGAAAAAATAATATAGATCTGTATAACTATAGACAACAATAACGTAGTGTATACTTAACATTGTCTTTAAAAAATATATATTTTGTTGATTTTTTTAGAGAGAGGAAGGGAGAGGGATAGAGTTAGAAACATCCATCAGCTGCCTCCTGCACACCTCCTACTGGGGATGTGCCCGCAACCAAAGTACATGCCCTTGACCGGACTCGAACCTGGGAACCTTCAGTCTGCAGGCCAATGCTCTATCCACTGAGCCAAACCGGTTAGGGCTTAACTTTTGGTTGAGGATAGATCTCCTTCTAGTGGTTGGGGGGGGGGGGGGGGGGGGAGTAGGAGAAAGGCAAGGGACTGAGACAGACAACCCAGAGAGGTCTGAGTCTTAAGAAGAAAGCTTCAAAAGACTTAATATCATAATCAAGTCATATAAGGTAGAAATGAAGAGTGTTGACTGTATCTGGCTATAGTATGAGTTAAGATGATCTTACTAGGTCATTTCTGGAGTGATATGAGAAAGTCAGGTACAGTGGGGCCTTGACTTTCAAGTGTCCCGACAAACGAGTTTTTTGAGATACCAGCTGTCTCTCGGCCGATTTTTTGCATTGAGTTGATAGAGTAATTTGAGTTAACAAGCTCCTTAACGAGCCCCCTACTGGCTGTGTCCATGGATTATGCTTAGTATATGCACGCATACAAGACTTGATCTCTCACTGTCATTCTCCCCCCCCCCATCCCCCCTGAGGTTGGGTGGTCTATTCGATGATTCTATGTCTCTGGATCTATTTTTAGCTCATCAGTTTGTTCATTATATTCCACATGAGATCATGTGATATTTATCTTTCTCCGACTGGCTTATTTCTCTGATAACTCTTTTAAGCTTTGTTGAAACAATGGATTATCTTTGCTGTACTACTTTGTGGTATAATAAACTTTTCATGCATTCTTTAGAAAATATTTAGCAAGGATTAATAATTTGCTTACTCCTAAAATAGACCTAAGAATCCCTGGAAAACAGTTCAAAAGAACATAAGGTTACCTAAAATTTTTAAAGATAAGATAGAAAATAAATAAAGAAAAAAGAAAAAAAGATAAAATAGGTTTATTCAATGAACAGTTTTATAAAACTTTCACAGTTGGCAAAACAAAATAAATTATGAGTTATTATACTGTTAAGGTGATGCTTATGTGATGCAGAGGCTTGAGTCTTTGGACAAGAAAATCAACCATAACTTGACAACTGACTGGATACATAAACCAAACCCATCACTTAGTTGGGAATTTAAATGATAAAGGAGTCAAAAGCCTCACTCAGGAAAGAATTGCTGGTCTCTTTATAACAGGAAATGTTTGGGGAAAACAACATCTAACACAATACTGTGTTAGATAAATAACACTGTGATTTTTAAAAACTGCACTGAGTTGCTATACTTATTTGGAATTAATACCATTATCCATATTACTATTTTTCCAAGCAGTAAAAGAATATTACTTTCCTTCTATTGTTTTTACCTAATCTATATGGATAGACTACTGAGGGGTAACTAAAAAAAAAAAAAAAAAAAAAAAAAAAAAAATCTCAAGAAGCAAGTGCCAGTGTTATATGTCAACTGTTTAGTTATAAAAAATTTGAGAGTAAATCCTTAAGAAAACATTATTTGAAGTAGAGCTGTGCTAAGATAATGCACACAAACCAACATGGTCTATTTAATAAAAATATTTAATGCTGCCAAAAAGTATAAAAATACAGTAGAAGTGGCAGTACAATACAAAGTAGTCTCTCCTAATTTATTTCTTTTACATCTTTCCACATTTCATACATTAGATTAAAAAACTTAACAAATCATCAAATTAGAGAGTTCTGCAAAGTCTTCTGCTGGTGGTGCTCTTCTTTCCCTGGATGTAAAGTTTACTTTGTAAACAGACAAATGTGAGGCAATCTACGGGTTTATCAAGCCTCACATTAGTTTCCGGAGTGGGCTTCAGGTCTTGCTTTGCACATCAATGGTTCAAAATTTATAGCTGCAGAATATTCTCAAGTCATGAATATTTAGGTGTCTGTCAATCTTGGCCTAAAACATAAAATAAGAAGTCATCTATTCAATTCATATTTAACAAACACACAGATGTACATAGATACACACAAACATAAAAGGACTAACAATGAACTAAAAAGGCAACAAGAAACATTCCAACATATCACATTCAACCACACTTAAGTGCTTCACGGTATGTTGGTAAAATTGCTTAAGTGCTAGGTTTTCAAACTGAATTGGTGGTGTGAGGTAGGCTCAGGTTAAAGCACCATAACTCATATTGTTTTTCCAGGAATTACTATGAATTTTGTTGGTCATACTATATTACTCAAGAAATAACCTCCATGTGAGATACTGACAGACAGGTTTTAAAAAAATAGATCCACAACAGTTTAGCAAGACTATATGTATGTGCTAGACTTACCAATACTTTTCCATTCAATTCAAAAGTCTAATCCAATTTGGACCTCCACTGCTAAAAATATTATGAATGTAATGTTTGAACATTAAAATCACGTACTATTAGCAGCATGCTTTTTGTCCTGAAGATAATACTAATGAATATAGCAATATAGAACTGGTGACACAATTTAGTTACTATCAATTTAAAAGAAAACACAGACATAAAGTAATTGATTTATTGTATTTTAATGCCAAAAAAATAAATGAGAGTTTAAACAAACAATAGACAGATGAAATAGCTATTTTTAGGGCAGTTGAGTTTTTTATGTTATTTCACAATGTTTGCAAATAGCCAAACTTTTTAGATAAATGGTATTTTCATTCTTCCCCCAACTTCCCTCACTACAACAAAAAAATAACCCAAATCTAAGTACTTGTCATTATTGTATCCCCACATATATAAACAGGATATATAAACCATACCCACATATATTTTTCCAAAACATTTAGTCAAAAACCCCAAAATACCACGAGTGGAGTTTCTCCTGACTACTGGCTCCTTCTACCGAAGGAAAGAATAATAGTACCAAGCACTCTGGTGTTCTCAATACCCGTTTTCTCAGATTTTCTAGCACCGACAGAGAAATGTCATCAAGAAAACAGTCTCCTTAGACACCTGTGGGTCACAACAACTACTATGGCTGCTTAATGTGCTGCTACAAAACACATCTTTATTCCCCAGCATTCACAAAACTGTTCAGTGAAACAAAGGAACTTAACCCAACCAAAGTGCATTAAATAATGGTTTAAACTGAACATTTTGATGTTACAGTATTTCTCTGGTCTATTGGTAGTTTAAACTGTTTCACAAATTTTTGTTTCACTTAAGAAATAGAGGGTTACTTTAAATTTTAACAAGTAAAAGTAGTTGCCTAATGTTTTTCAATCTAAATATCTGGTTTAAATATTGCATAAAAACAGAGTCAGTGTGACATAATGGAAAAAGTATGAGATCTGTAGTTAATGGAATTCTAAAGAGTAGAGTTTGAATCCCAGCTCTGGAATGTACTAGCTGAGCAATCTTGAACAAGGTACTTATCTTTCGACTCAGTTTTATTACCTCAAAATAGGGGTAATGTGATGTATCTAGAAGAGGTACTATGGGGGTTAAATTTAGGTTATATATTTAAACTGATCGGCAGAACTGTAGGTATTCAACATACAATGCTGTCTTCCCCAACAGGGTATTACAGACACAATTACCAAAGAAAATTACCATTTACAACAACTAAAAGAAACAGACAGTGTTTTTAAAAATTCACTTTTTTTTTCTTTTTAAGTATTATTATGGGGGACAAGAAAATAAGATGAAATCATTGGGAATGTTAACTATTTTAAAAGACTATTTATTTGCAAGACTGAAAAGACAAATGGGCTTCATCTTAGGGTGGGAAAAATTCACCTGAATCATTTTTTGCTGTTTTATTTAACAAGATAAAAGTGAAATCGGTTCAAATGAATCAAGTGGAATTAGTCCTGCTTGGTGCTTCCTTTGGAGCAGCAGCCCTGATACTGACCCCCGTGCTAATGCTGGAATGGAATGAGGGCTGGGCTCACACACAGAGCAAAGGGTTCCCAAGCTGGCTCCACACCTGAAGTAATAGAAAATCAAAACTGCACCCAAAATAGGTTTTGCCACTGGAATAATAAAAACTCCTCTAAGATAAGCAAAGCATTGCCTTATAAACAAAATGAACTTACCCAGTTTCCCTCTCTTGAATTCTCAAACTCAAAACAACCTTTTTATAGCAGACATTTGAAATATCAACACCATTACGTGTCTAAAACATCTATGCCAAATTAGAGCACCAAATGGTCTCTTTAAAGAAAAAAATTCCTAAGCAATTCTCCTTATAGCTCCCCAAACATACTATGCAATGGAAAGCCAGACAATATTAAAATCGACTCTGTAATATCCTCACTAAATCCCATAATTCTCATATTCCACTCAAAATTATAAAACCAAAATAGAGTTCAAAAGATTGAACTTTTCCCTCTCCTAGTGGATTGCACAGAGGTGTCAGAGCAGTTTAACATGTTTTCATTGTCAGCTGTTCAGACTGTTACTGATCAGGACAAAGCCTCCCAAACCAAGCAGTGGCTTCTTGTCTGAACCGCCGCTTATACTTGGCCGCGCTCTGTGATGGAGTGAGTGCATACGACTTGAGAAAAGGATCAGCACTGACTGTGAGGAAAAATTCTCCCCAAAGTTTCTAGAATCCAGTGGCCAAATGAGGTAAACCTTTCTCTGAAGAGCATCGAGAGAAAACACTTGTGCGGAATTGCTCAGTGCTTAGAGCAATCTGAATGTGATGAATGTCCCTACTGTTGAGGGAAAAATGAGACAGCAAACCCATACCATTTCCCTAGAAGTTTTTTCTTTAGCACACTACCTAACAAAGTGGGTAGCATAAAATTTCCAAATCTTAAAAGCTTAAATTCCCAAATCTGGATGAACAATGAAATGGCTCCATTATGGCCAGGTACATGGATATAGCCAATAAGTACATAATTTCTGGAGTGAGGATTCTTGAGTAGAACAGGCATTGTGGAGCTTCCACAGTCTGAGTTTCTTCCCACCAAGGCATGTTATCACTCATATCAGTGGAACAATAGATGGCTAGAATTTCTAACACATCCATTGCTGTAAGGGCTGCTGGTATTGCTGTCCCATAAACAGTGTTTTGAAGGCAGGTATAAGGAAAAATGGAATCAGATTCAAACCAATTAACTAAGGGGAAAGATTAAAAAAAAAAACACAGGTCAATTCCAGAATAAATTATTCAAAGAATGACCAAGACCTGTGGGGAGAACTTCATTTTATTATGTGGGAAAAATAATATGTCTCTATTTTTCAAAATTTCATTTCATAAGGTTTTGTGCTCCTACCATCTAAGTAAGTCAAAGCCAAAAAAGGGTTTCTTAAAATAAGAGACATAATTAACTGCTAATGTAGAAATGAGAACACAGGAGCACAGTGCAGACATTTCTGCTATGCACTTAGTTCCAGACTAGGATCAATGCACCAAGTTCCAACGTCGGCCACCCTCCACCCCTCCACCCTCTGCTAGTGTGCAGCAGACAAAGAGATCCACACTCCCTACCCCCTGACAAACCCATGTGGACCCATTGGGAGAAAAATAAGTTAATGTTGGCAGGCATAACTCCTGGCTCTTGCCTGAACACAGATATACATAATAAGCATTAGGCTTATAATAGACTACATAAAAAAAATCTCTATAAGATTTATATCTGAAAGTAAAAATCTAGGACAACTAGATTTAAAATATAATATAATAGCCAGGCAGGCATTTTGGAAATGTAGGTACTCATTAAAATAAGAGTATATAATGGTCAATATAAATATTTCTAATGTAATCAGGTTCTGGCCTGCATTTCTATAGAATCTAGTCAGAGATATTTTTCAAGGTTATGTCTTTCTTGGAGAGATATCTAATTCTAAAATAAACATGAGACTTTTCAAAGATAGTGTAAAAGAATGTAGAAATGTCAAGTCTCAGGTTGATTATGACTTAATAATAACACCACCTACCTCAAAAGCTTGTTGTGAGGATTAAATAGGATAATATAACATATGAAAAGTGCTTAGCACAGTGCTTGGCACAGTAAACGATCAATAAATGGTAGCAACCATCACTTTGAATTGATGCTGAAAACAAAGAAGGAATTGATATTAAAACTGAAGGACTGCTCGATGTCATAAACTACTTTATAAACCAGTATGTATCTTTTGATTCACACCAATTCTAGTTTATATAAAACAAATATTTATAAAATTAATTTAAGCGTTACAACTCCTTCCTCTGACATACCTGTTAAGCAGAGCTACTTTTTTTTTTTAAATCAACAAGATTTTCACTTCCTTTCTCTTTTTATGTTCATTCCTTGATAGAAATATTAACTCACAGTGAAATGGACCAAAAAGATAGAAAATCACAGAGAAAATATAGAAAATATTCTTTAAACATGAGAAATGGTCTTCATATTGTTCTAAAGTTCTCTATTACATTTTTAAGCCTCTTAAGAATTCAGGAAAAGGGTATTATTTTAATTTTACATATGGTTAAATTATATATGGAGAATTATATTTTTACATATATGTGCAAGCATAGATAAAAATCAATATAAGATAGCATAAAATACTTGGTGAAACCTGGATATACACAGTTGGTGTAGCCAGAGAAGATGGCATTAAATCAAAGGCTACTGTCAGTTTATTAGCAGGAGTAAATATAAACAAAAATGAACTGGATGTTATTGTAAATGTTCTTTACTTAATGTAAATAATAAAGCCTCTGACTTTAAAAATATCCTTTTTTCTTCCTTAACCTATTAAAAATATTACTACTTCACTAAAATCAAACTATACAACTGACTTTGAAAATCTGTTATAATTAGAAAATATTATGAAGACCTAAGCATACACAAATTGTGTAAGTATGTAGAATCCGTCATGGGTTAATAACGTTTTCCTCTGGCTGTTACCTGAGAAGACAGGAGCCATGTTTGTGTCCTTCTCTCTGATTAGCACCCCTCATTTAAAAAAGGGTCAGGATGATGACTATAGGCACCATAGCATGTTGCCATATTTATCAATTATTACATGGCACCTATTATTATTGTTGGTAAAAACTTAACACACTATCCTCAAGGACCTGCTTGGAGGAGGTAAGATAACTAACATTGCAAAAGTTCATCAACAAATGTTTACTACACTGACTATAATTTTAAAAATGTTACAACAAACACCACCCAGAAGGACAGAAAGCAGACAAAAAGCAAAGCTGCGATACTGAATCCAATGAAGCTCATTCTCCTGCAGTGGGGCAGTGGGGGCAGTGTGCATTATGATCAGCATTTGCTTTCCATAATAAGTCTTTACCTTTTTGTTTAAAGCAAGGCTGTCTTCAACTGGAAATTTAATATGGTCTAGCCATATGTGAGTTGCAGAATAATATATTGTATTTTAACAAAGCAAGACAAGTTGGAAAGAAAGATTTTAAACAATAATGAACTAAAACATAAAGGTCTTGGTGCTTGAACACAGATTTAATGCAGACAGACATAAGAAATTGTCCCTCTTACCTCCTTTCCATTTAAAGGTTACAGGACACAGTAATACTGAATTAGGACACAGGCAGAAGTTTATTTAATATGTAGTACCACCTACATCCTCTTTCATACTTGCAGCACAATTAACACATTCAAGAAGGCTACCAAATCAACTCAAAACATCTGTCTAAACCAATGGTTTTCAAACTGTTTTTTTAAATTATAACTAATCCCTTAAAATAATTAAACTTCATGCAAAAATCTTACGTAGTTTATAGAAGAGACAAAGGAGAGAGATGGTCCGGTTGAAAGTAAAGGTTGATACCTTGGAGTCTTTCCTACCACTTCTTGTTGACCCCTTAGAAATCTAATGAGCACAGTTTGAAAACCAGTAAAATAATGGTATTTCATTATTTCAGCAATTAAATGTGTAACAACTATTTAAAGTTTAAGTTAAATAAGTTGAACACTTAATGGAATGTAGGGTCTGAAGAAAACTGCCATTCCAGCAGCAGTTAAATTCATTAAACAATATACTTTAAAAATACCCATTAAGAAGTTAAAGGGACAATGAAAAGTTTGTAAATCATCATACTATTTATTTAAGTAGAAAGAACTTAAAAATATTTATTCCAAAATTCAGTCTAGTATACTGAAATCATGGCAGTAAAATGCTGCTCCTTATTTTTATTTTCTAAATCATGATTTACCCCAATTATAAATTAGGGTAGTTACATTGAAATCTTCATAAAAAATAAAAAGTATAAGTAATGGGCTTTACAGAAACCAATTTCTTTACAAAGTCTTGATCAACTGTATTACCTGACTTCAGTAAGGAGAATTTCCTTTCAAAGATATTTTTAGGGAAAAATTTTGTTTCTTTGATTTTCTTTTTAAAATTGGAAAAACCATAAAACATAAAAGAAATGCAGAGATATGGTAAAAAAAAAAAAAATGCTTACTAAGAGTTCTAACTGCTCAAATTTCTCCTTATGAAAATATCCAGTACAACTGAACCAACATACAATTTCTTATTATAACAAATTTTTCAAATTTAGCTTTCTAAAAAAGTACATTTAACTACAAAAGTAAGATTAAATACTTATAAAATATATTTACCTTGAAATGGTTAAGAATATAAATTATTGATGCTCATGTCAATAGTACATTATACATTACACACATTATTTAAAGGTCATTTTCTTTTCAGTAATATAATGTAGATAAAACCACGATATTTATTGCTTGTATCAAGTGCAGGTTAAAATCCAGGTAGCATCAAAAACAAATCCTTGTGGTAAAGGATATTCCTCAATTTGGTCAGGTGAAATATTACGTTTAACATGTATGAATACAGTTGCAAAATGTACCAGTTTTTAACAGGCATTAGAGTCTTTATTTTAGATCACCGTTTACAATTTGGGGATAGTGCCCTGAGATGTTGGGCTGAGGACTGAATATATTATTTATCTGGTTGGTGTCTATTCTACTGCTCCATTTTTGGGGATATGAGAAGTTTGCTAACAGAAAAATCCTTGTGATTAATGCAACACTGTCAGCTATTAGTGCAGAAGCTTGCTGGGCACAACTGTATTATTTATAGGACACTCTGCTGAAAAAACAGTGTCCAGCCAACAAAAGCGCCAACCAAAATGACTGACACAAACCCCATCTTAGTGAAAATAGGTTGCCAATATAACCACCTTTTTCTTTTTCGTTCAGTCTCATTTAGCCTCTGTTTCATCTGCTGCACCTTCTGAGCCGTGTTAGCTTTTCTGTCTTCTCGAATTCGTTTCCGTAGAACACTATGAATAAATATGAACAAATTATAAGAAATGCTTGGCAGGACTTAATTACTCTCATACAGAGGACCTAAACTCAAATATCCACACCTCCCACACACACACATTTTTCAACTCAAACATTGTAATTTTTTTTAAAAAGGAAAAGATTTGGCTCAAATAAACTCTTATGAAAATTCTCAAAAACATAAACAACTAAAAGGGATAAAAAGCCTCAGTACTCTAAACGGTCCAAAGATGTGTTCTGATAATATATATTAACAAATACTTTTAGTAGGACCTGATAATAAGCATTGAGCTTTCTTTCTTGAACTGGTGACTGTCAGTTTTCTTTCTTTCTTATTTTTTTTCTTTATTGATTAAGGTATTACCTATGTGTCCTTATCCCTCCCTTGCCCCTTACCCCCCACTCATGCCCTCACCCCCCTGGTGTCTATGTCCATTGGTTAGGCTTATATGCATGCATACAAGTCCTTTGATCTCTTTTCTTTCTTTCTTTGCTAACCAGCCAGAAGTGGAAAGATAAGCGGGTCCCCTATCATCTGATCCCCTTTTGTGTTTATACTTGATTTTTGACAAAGCCCTTGATAAAAGCCATCAACTTAATATGTCCAAGAATAGTCTGTCGTGGGAGTGCCTATTACTCTGTCCATACAGATCTCTAGCTTTCATTTGCTTAATACAGAGTTTATGTTCCAACGGAAGCTCTTCGATTTCCAAGATAATGACCCTAGGACTACATAAAGAACAGCAAAAGGTAACATGTACGTTACAATTGCCTATATTACTGCAAAAAACTAACCAGTCTTCCTGCCTCCAAATTAAACATCGCCACAGTAATTTTCCTAAAGCATGGCTTTGATCATGTAGCTTGATGAAAAATCTTGAATGCCTTTTCAGTGTCTACTATGACATTAAGAGGCAACCTTTTCCTAACCAAAATGTCTAACCTGAATCTAATAATGAAAAACAATCATAAGAATCCAGATTGAGGAGCATTCTAAAAGGTACTGGTCTCGCCCTAGCTGGTTTGGCTTAGTGGATAGAGCGTCGGCCTGTGGACTGAGGGGTCTCGGGTTCGATTCTGGTCAAGGGCACATGACTGGGTTGTGGGCTCGCTCCCCAGTCGGGGGCGTGCAGGAAGCAGCCGATCGGTGGTTCTCTCTGATCATTGATGTTTCTATCTCTTTCTCCCTCTCTGAAATCAATAAAAATATATTTTAAAAAAGGAACTGGTCTAGAAGCTGCAAAAACGCCAAAGTCAAGCAAGAAAAAAAAAAAGTGGCGAACAGATTAAAGGAGACTAAAGAATCACATTAACTGGCTAGGCCAGTGTGGCTCAGTGGATGAAAATCCACTGAGAGGTCACCATTCCATTCCCTGTCAGGACACATGCCCAGTTTGCAGTCTTGATCTCCAGCAGGGGGTGTGCAGGAGGCAGCCAATCAATGATTCTCTCTCATCATTGACGTTTCTATCTTTCTCCCTCTCCCTTCCTCTCTCTGAAATCAATACAAAGATATTTTAAAAAAAAGAATCATGTTAACCAAATACAATGCATGATCCTCAATTAGATCTTGAATTAAAAAAAAAAATAGCTATAGAGATTGGGACCATGAAAATGTTCCAAAATTTAGATTACGGTGATGACTATATAACTATAAATATACTAAATCTATAGAAATGTACACTTTAAATGAATAAACTTAATGGTATGTAGATTATATCTAAAAGTTATGATGTGGATAGTTTTACAACTATATTAGATTAAAAAAAGTAATTTATTACAATATTAGATTTTTTAAAAACTTTATTCTTTTTCCAATAATAGAATTAAGCTTTAACATTCAATTAAATATTTTATAATTTTATAAAAGCCAGATTACCAATTACATTATAACTATAGTACAAACACAACATAATTGTACAAATGGCAGGTATTCATACCATTTATTTTCTCTACCATGCTATATATTTTAGCATCCAATTATATATATTAACTTTTATGCTCAATTAGTATTTTGTTCAACATTTCCAACTGGTGTCTGTCTATAAGTACTGGCTTCTTATTAGAATGGAAAGTTCTTTGAGATCAGTGATGTAATCATATACTATTTAAATACCCTCAGGTAATAAATAAGTGGTTATATTAGTTCAATAAACAAAGGGCCTACATTAGTTCACATCTACTGACCTTTCTAAAAAATAGTCTCATCTTTTTATTCTTACCTCTCACTGTTCTCCTCCACAGTATCTTGCATTTTAGAGGACAGGCCTGTATATCTGTCACCTGTCAGTTTTTCTTCTTCTAGTCCTATCCTGTTCCCATTGTATTTTTCATTCATTAGTTTGGTTGGTGAATGATCAAAAACAGGACATAAATCTTCTTTAGAAAGTTCTTTCCACCGTTTCTAGATAAGGAAGAGAAAAAAAAACAAATGCAAACACTCAAATTTTGGCTTTTCTTAATATTAAAAGAACTTACGAATTGAAATTCTATAGTCAATTTAAGAAAACCCTATAATGCTGATAAATAGAAAAGGACCTCATTAAAATATTACTCATGGTGAGATTTTAGCCAATGCCAGATTTTGTAAGACTCCTAATCCACAGATATGTAACCCTAGAAGCGGTGACCAAGATGGCACTTGAATGTGATCTAGTATCTCCTTATTCCTTGCCACTATCTAATCTAATGAAGAACCGATGGTGAGATCTCCAAGCAGGTCCCCATCATGCCAAAGGACTTTAATATGGTTGACCCTACCAGGCATTTTAGCAGCTCCAGGTAGCTAGCCCACCACCAGGTTAGGGAAAACTCCTCTAGTATGCATAAACTTCAGAGTGGGCAGGATTTAGGCCACAATGAAGAAAAATTACATTTTCATCACCTACCCACGAAGCCTGTTGTGATTAATAAGATGACAGGTGAAAGGGCCTAGCATCATATCTGCCAAGTATTAGTCTCCTTTGCCCTTACTGCCACCCTCCCTAGAGAGAGAGGACAAGGAAGAAGAGGTGCAGAGTATTTCTAGGCCTCTGGAAGATAAAGGCAGTGACAAAATACAGGCCAAAAAGGGAAAAGGTAAGTAGAACCTCAACACGGGATCACTGTCTCTGAAGTCTTTCAGGGGCTAATAAGACAACCATCCATCTCCTGCCAATAACCATAGTAGTAGAGGAGGCAGAAGGGAGAGCAATGGCTTTGATTATTTATAACTTCAACACTGGCACAAAATGACTTGGTGTAGACGGAGTGGCCCCCTTTGAATATCCTATCATGGAAAGATGGCGTCTCAAGTCTACTGAATAAGGAACTATATAGCTATTGTTGCAGGATTTGAATGATTTGAACAGAAATTAACAATGCAACCTATACTTTTATAGAACTTATGGAATGCGCACTCCCTGGAGTTACTTTGATAAAAAACAGCATTGTTAAAAACAATCCTTGTATATTTATATTTTTTAAAATCCTGGAAAATTCATTAATACACTGATAAACGAGTTTCTAACTTGCCTCATTATCATACAACAGAGGAATTAAAAAGAAAAGGGCATTTTACCACACTCCAACTTTCCTGTGTCTATTTTATTAAGCTGTATATTAATGCATCTTTTTGTTTTATAGTAGTAGGTTCACAAAAGACTTAGAGAATGTAAAATTCTATAATTTATTATATTTGGAAGACAGTGAGTAATACAGTTTGGTACAATTTGGTGAGAAGATGAGAACACATAGAGCTGAATCCTGTGAGACGAGGCCAGAAAGAAAGCAGATCTCAAGGACAGAGGTCTCTGAAATTCATTTGAGAAACAACGGGGTGAAACTAAACTCTCCTGAGCAAGGACCTAAGAGGACTTAAACCATATCCAGAAAGAATATTTTGCCAATAGTTGTGAAAACTACCATAATGGAACATAAGAGTAAGATGTTTTCTCTTTAGATGACTATATATCATTTTTCTTTCTTCCCTTATTTCAAATTTTTGTTACTAAGTCCAAATAGATTTTTTATATTGAAGAAGATGCAAGTCAGGAAACAAGATACTTACTAAGCACTTACTGTCCTAATGCTTCAAATACACTAGTTTTTAATCCTAACAAGAATCTTAGGAGGTAGGTGCTACTACTGTTCTTATTATAACCTTTTTATAGATGAGATGCATTGAGAGAGTTTAAGTAACTTGTCCAAGGCTAGGTGGCTAATGAATAGTAGGGTAGGAATCTTAAGCCAGGTACTCTAGATTAACCATCATATAAACCCTCATGATTACCTGTAAAAAGCACAGCAACTTCAAACGCCAGATAGTTTAAGAAAGTACCCAATAAAAAATATTAAATTGTTTCCAGAATTTATGTTGGTCAATATCTGAAGTTTCTGTCCTCTACTAAGACCTAGTTATAGCAACTTGGCCTTATTCTAGACAAAACTCAACAATGTCAAAAAATGAGATAATGCCAAAAATCAAGTCTTATTGGGTCACATCCCGGAATATGCAACAAATCCAGAATCTGTCAACAAGAAAAGCCCTCATCAAAGGGTGTGTGTGTGATTGTGTGTGTGTGTGTGTGTGTGTGTGTGAGAGAGAGAGAGAGAGAGAGAGAGAGAGAGAGAGAGAGAGAAAATGCTGGTGATTAAAATAAAACACAATAATGTCATTTTGCCATGCCTCTGAGCAGCAAACTCACTCAACTAAAAGGCACTCCAAAATCAACTGCCTCAAACTCTCAATAAAATATCTATTATATAAACTAAGTATTCTATAATCTCAGATCAAGTTTTTAATGAGGAAAAGTACCTAAATTTTCTGGTTTATTTTTTTTCCTAGTTTATTTTAATGATTAAATGCTTAAACCCTCCTTACATGAAAATTTTATTTTCTTTAATGAAATGCTGTTCCCAGTAGGGCTTTTGAGTAACAGGCAGGATTTCACATGAGGCTGAGGTAGGTATATTTGAGGAAGTGAGCTTAAATTTTATAATTGTAAGTTGGCCAGCTGGATTTGCCACATTAATGTAAATATGCCTTTTGGAAGGGAGACTATAAGTTGCTTAAATGGAGTGCAGTTATTTGATGCTAATCATATTACACAGGTACTATTTTTTCCCTGAAAAAGCTTACCTGTATATTTGAATCTCCCTTTATAAATTTTGCTCCTTCTATTATAGTCATATATGAAAATCTGAGTTGATCTGGCGTCTGAATAAGTCCCATTCGATATTTTCTCATATTTAGTAACAGTTGTTTAATGTTAATATCATCTCCTTTCTCCATCTGCAAGAAAGGTAGAAAGTAAATTATTCAAGCCTTTTGTTGTTAAGAGTCCAGGAAAGAGAAGCAATACAGGACAATTGCTAAGAGTTTTGGCATGTCCTATGTTCTTCCTAAGAAACAAGGATAAGTTATCATCAAAGTTGCATGTCTGTACAAAACCACCTTCCCCAGACACCTGTCCTCTCCCCACCTCAACTGTTTAAGTAGTAGATGGAGGACGTTTGGCCCTTTAGCTGATTCACAATTGATTCCAAACCAATCACAGTCAACTCATTCAACTTGCCCAGTGTTTGGTCTAAGGAAGGATTTATGACCAGTTCTGGCTTAATGTAAAGAAAGGTTCACTGAGATTATTAGTGCTCTTTTTTTTTTGTTTGTTTTTTTTAAAGAAGATTGTGGCAGGAGTAAAGCTTTTTGCCCACTGCCCTTCCGCCTTCATGTCTGTGCACAGCAGCCATCTGGAGATGGTGAAGAAGGCAAACAGAAAGAGCCCAGATCCACAATGACACTGGTGAGCCACTGCACCAGCCCTGGACTATTGATATGGTATTATAACCACCATACCCCCCCACAGCTAAAAAAGAAAAAAGTTGTTGAAATTATGTTTGGCAGGGAACAGGCACAAACACAATTCAGTTTTTTTGTTTGTTTGTTTGTTTTTTAAATATATTTTATTGATTTTTTACAGAGAGGAAGGGAGAGGGATAGAGAGTTAGAAACATCGAGGAGAGAGAAACATCGATCAGCTGCCTCCTGCACACTCCCCACCGGGGATGTGCCCGCAACCAAGGTACATGCCCTCGACCGGAATCGAACCTGGGACCCTTGAGTTTGCAGGCCGACGCTCTATCCACTGATCCAACCCGGGCAGGGCCACAATTCAGTTTTAATAGTCACCATTAATAGAACAGACTGGAGTTTTACACATGTCAAAGTTCACTTTGATACATCAATCCAATTTTTGAATGAAATATACTATATATAGGCATCAAGAGATGTATTAAGGTGCAACTGTTCTTATATCTGTAAGTGCAGCTGCAATAGTGTACATGAGATTTTTAGTGTGTGTTTTTTTTTGTTAAAAGGCAGAAGTTTAAATTTAAAAAACGCAGTTCTAGGATACTGACATTAGAGCTTATTTCTGCTAATGGAAACAATACAAAAGTAAACATGCCTAAAATTAGATCATAAGAGGCACTTACCAGAACAAGACACGTATCTACTAGAGAAAAGGTGCCTGACCGCCCAATGCCTGCACTGCAGTGGATCACTGCAGGCCCATGTTCAGGACTCAAGGAACCTGATTCTCTCACTTTACATAAGAAATTGAGAAATGAAGCTGGTGATTCAGGGACTCCAAAATCTGGCCAGGTAGTATAATGAAAGTGAGATATTGTTCTGGTTTCACCACTCTGAAAGGTAAAAATCAAAGGGAAAAGTTAGTTCTTTTTTCTTTTAAAAAATTACTTCAGAAAGGTTGTGTTTTGTGTAATGCTTTTAATCCTATGGACTTTTAGTGCCCGATTTTTCCTTTGGTTTTTGATAATAATTTACACAAGTTTGGGAAAATTTTCTTTAGAATATTTTAATAATAGCTAACACATTATTTTGCAGGTATATTCTAAGTGTTTTATGTATTGAGCATACAACAATCCTTTTAGAAACCATTTTATAGATGAGAAAACAGAGCTAAAAGGTTGAGTGATTTATTCAACATCACACATTTAGAAATTGGCAGAGCCAGAATTTAAAGATGCAATCTGGTACAGCATTTGGGTTCTTAACCACTAACCTGTACCATATATGTTGCGAATTATTTTCTTTAATTCATACATTATGATGAGTGGATTCTTTTTTTCCCCTATTTTTAAAAATGTCTACTAGTATAATTTTACATTTTTTAATGGTTTCCCTTTTAGGAATTCCAATTTTTTTTAGATATAATCTTTTTCCATTCTATGAGTTATCTTTTAGATTCTGCTACAAAGGCACAGAGGAACAACTTAAGAATTTAAAAAAAAACCTTTACATTTTTTAATAGAAATTGCTCTCTTAATTGCTGCTTTTCCCTATGGTAATAATTTCCAGTCCTAAAACTGTTTATATGCCTTTGCTGATATGCTAAAATGGTTTACCAACATGCTAAATGTTTCCTGTCTCTTAATGCCTGCCTGGCATTCACTATCACTTCCTGGATATTCCTGATGATCTTATATTTCTGAATAACTCATTATGAAAATGTTCCTTAGCTTTTGCCAATTGCCTTTTGCCCCAAGAAGCACTTATGAGCCTTGTACTTTTCATTTCTGTAAACGAAGCAATAATCCTCTAACATGTCTTTGCACAATTTTTCAGTTTTATTATGTTTTTGGTAGGAGAAGCCATAGAAGCAACATAAAAAGTCATGATATTTTTAATGGTTAACAGCTAAACATTATTATAGCATCCTGCTTTCAATATAAATTTTCAAAACTAAAGTTAGTTTTCATTAAAAAAGTAATAAAATTTCCCCTTTTTCAGTAGAAATTAAGAGTCCTAAGTCCCAGACTAAGTTATATCAGTTAGGTATAGAACTGATAAAACAGTGTAGAAATTTAAAAATATATTTAAAAAAGGTTCAGTATATAGTGTTAGTGACTAATTTTATATCCAGCTTTCATAATTCCAAATATATCATGATCCTGCACAGATTAATATACTAAGGTACTAGAAGATCTCCCTATTACTAATAAAAATGATCACTGTGGTTACTAGACTTCAAAACATTTCCAAAGTATGGGAAGTGAAGGAAGCCAGGCTGTAAAAGATACATACTGTAGGATTCCACTTATATGACAGTCTGGAAAAGGCAAAATTATAGGAATAGAAGCAGCTCAGTGTATTTGAGGAGCTGGGAGTAGGGGATGGGGGGTAGGGCTGACTGTACACAGGCATGAGAAAATTTGGAGAGGGATGTTGATGGGGGGTGTTACACAACTAAATGCATTTTCAAAACTCAGAACTGTATACTAAAAAGATAGTATCTTACTGTATATGAAAGAGGGAATTAAATTTACTGTGTTAAAGAAAGATACTCAAAACATTCAAATTAAGAAGGTTTTTACAAAGTCATAAATGGACAGGTAACAACCTGACAACCACCTGCTGTGGTCATCAGCCACCATGCAGTGCTAACCATGCACAACAGAGCCAGACTTGGTCCATGTGAGCCTAAACCAGGTATGGTATGAACCTGTTGGATACCCCAGGTCTTGGGGAGGTAGCCCCAGGACCCTGCTTGCATATAAGCTGTGCTCCTTAGGGTGTGGCCCAATATTCCTAGGTGGTTATATGTTCAGTTATTGCATCATCTCCTGGCTCAATACCTATGGTTACCTCACAATTCTCAGTGACTGCTTGCTTTTTCTTTGCTTGTATGATTTTGGCTCAAGACTAGTGGTCCCTTGTGTGTGTTTTTTTCCAAATTCAGGTCATGCTGTCTAAGATACTCAAAGCCAGTTCCCAGAAATGCTCGCAACTATTTGTATAATACAGTCTTCTCCACTAATAGATTTTTGAAAAATTGGTCTTTTTCTTCTCTACCAGACTAGACTAAAAAACTTCTTTAATTTAATCCTACTAAAAAAAAAGGTTAAAAAAACACAACTCACAAAACCATAAGTCCCAAAAGACCACATAAAGCAATGAGACTTATGCTTACTCTGTGGTATTAAAAAAATGTTTATGCCGAAACCGGTTTGGCTCAGTGGATAGAGCGTCGGCCTGCGGACTGAAGGGTCCCAGGTTCGATTCCGGCCAAGGGCATGTACCTGGGTTGCGGGCACATCCCCAGTAGGAGATGTGCAGGAGGCGGCTGATCGATGCTTCTCTCTCATCGATGTTTCTAACTCTCTATCTCTCTCCCTTCCTCTCTATATATTTAAAAAAAAATGTTTATATGCATAATTGGACCCCCTTTCCCTCTTTTTCATTGTGTGTGGTGGGGGAGGAAGGTTTGCCAAAGGATAGAGCTAAAACAAAATGAATCTTTATTCCAAACAAGCTCTACATTTCGACTTTAGAATATGAAACAAATCCTTATTTCAAAACTGTGGAAGCACTCTTTCCTTCTCCTAAGTCACCACATCACATCCTTTTTTCTTCAGTGATGCCCAGTCCATCCCTCCCAACCCTTTCCCACTTTTGTACCTCACACCCACATACACCTGGTTTGCATCCACAACTGCATAGCTATCCCCATCTCTAGCTGCTCTGTACATGCCTGCTAAATTTTCTCTGTAAAATGTTGCATTATGTGTACTAACTCTACATAAAAATGTCAGTGGGTCACTATTCTTTTTAAGGCAAAAATCTCATTTACATTTTTTGAAGGAGAATTCTAAATTTAAAGTCTTTGAATAAGGATCCCAAACTCATTATGGGAGGGGCAAAAGTAGGCTTACAGTTATTTCTATGAAAATTACAATAATTAATAAATAACATAAAAGTAAACTCTGTATTTTGCATAGTCACAACTGTAAACCTACGCCTGTCCCACCCTGTATATGGAGACCAGAAAGACAATCTAGAATTGAGTAGGTCTAAGACAATGGGGAGCTGATAGGCTTAAGGCAATGACAATTTAAGAGCATGCCATCTAAAGTCATTCAAGTTAATTATTATTTTTTATCATCAATATACATAATATTACATAGTTTCTAATTAGTGTAAATCTATACAGTTCTATGGTTCCAAGCCTAATAATTTTTATACTTTAAGCATATATAAGAGGTACCAAGATTATGATTCTAAAAGGCTTTCCTAATCCCCAATTTTGTCGACTATAAATGGGGTTAACAAGAGTACTTAAAGGCTTAGAAGGCTATTGTGAGGAATAATTGAAACGACTAACGCAAAGTGCCTAACATATGCTTGCACATGATAAATGCTTAACATAAACTATTTCTGAAACTATTATACTCACTAATTACCTTTATTGTAGCCCCTAATAAGCTCTAATCAATTGTAAACTCTCCACATTTTCAATCTTGTCACTTATTATTTCCTCTGCACTCGAAGAATATCGAAGTTTGTTAACCCTATCTCCTAAATACTCACTTATCAAATCTGTACCCTCATTGCCACTGCCTTACTTTAGTCTCTCATTATTTTTGCCAGGAGATTAATATTGTCCATGTTAAATATTTAGTTACTTTGATTTAGTTTGAAAGATTACTGGAACTCACCAGATCCAAAGGGGAGGAGAGTGACATGAATAGTTAGGGTATGGGGTTTTCATTCTAAGCAAAGAAAAAAGCAATACTCAGGGGCATGGGCCCCCAAGGAAAAGCCTACTTGGAAGTGTAAGTCTTTTAGCAAGAACAAATCCTGAGTCCCTGAGGAGATTAGACAAGGAGGCAAGGGCCAGACTGGGCTGGGTCATAGACTTCTGCATTGCCCATGGAAGGTTTTTAGAGCATGGTGGAAGGATCATGCCTGCGTTTGAGAATAACCACTCAGGTGTAGTATGGTGAAAAATGTACTCAGTGCAATGGCAAAAGGAAGTTCAAAGGTAACAGGTAAGGACCGTGCCCATGAGGAGTTGAAAACTTTGTTATATGGAGTCAAAATACACAATACACATATAAAAATAGTGAACAAGCCAGTACAATGGTAAAACTTAAATTATGGAGAGAAGCTTGTAGCTGTTAGAAATAAATACATCACATATATGAGGTCTAAGAAAGAAATGGGACACAAGTGATAGCGCTTGAAGGCTACAAATAGGCAGAGAAGAGAGGACATTCCAGGTGGGATAAACCTTTATGCTGTTTTAACTCAAATCCCAGCTAAACTTCATAATACTTAGACACTCAACTGTTTTTGGGCAAATCTACAGGAACAGAGAAATAGAAGGCCAGCTGTTGGCATTACAATAGTATTCCTGGAACTTGGTAAACATATAGCTGGCCAACAGTATTATGGAAAATAGTGAAAGGCAACTAAAAAAACACCTAAAAAACAAATAAGTACTCTTGATGACCTTGTATTTTAAAAGCCCCTCAAAAAATATCTTCACAGCTTAAGCCACAGGGCCACTTTAAAAGCAGAGATTGAATCTCTTCATTCGGGGCCAAAGTTCAGATTCTTAGCTATAATCAAGACACGGGAGAAAACTGCTGGTATGTAGCTTTACTGCTCCATTAAGACAAGAGCTCTGTAAAAGAGCAGGGCCTGCACAGACAGCTTTTGGCCCTGGATCTGTTAATAGATACAAGCCAGACTCCTTTAGAAGCCAACTGGTTCTCTGAAGCTCAGGGATTATCAAGAAAGATCTGCAAGGGGAAACGGGGTGGGGGGTGGGGCAGGACAGAGGTGGGCTAGAGGGGGTCAATGGGGGGGAAAGGGGGACATATGTAATACTTTCAACAATAAAGCTTAAAAAAAAAAAAAGATCTGCAGGTGAGGTTGGCTATCCTCCCCTACTTCAGTGATGGCGAACCTTTTGAGCTCGGCGTGTCAGCATTTTGAAAAAACGCTAACTTAACCCTGGTGCCGTGTCACATAGAAATTTTTTGATATTTGCAACCATAGTAAAACAAAGACTTATATTTTTGATATTTATTTTATATATTTAAATGCCATTTAACAAAGAAAAATCAACCAAAAAAATGAGTTCGCGTGTCACCTCTGACACGCATGTCATAGGTTCGCCATCACTGCCCTACTTCATCCCTCCCTCATTATTAGTTTCTCCCTCAACCTGTTTTCAATTACCATTACTCCACAGTCCTTTTCAATTAATTAGTATTACAAAGGAAAAAGATATGAGCAACTACTAATAACTATGGATCCTGCACTGAGTCTTCGACATTATTATGGTATTAACTCACTTGATACTTAACGACCCCATGAGATAGGTACATCATTATCCTCACTTTGTAGATGAGAAAACTGAGGCACAGAAGTTAAGTAATGAGACCAATCACACAACCAAGAGCGGTGAACTGGGACTTAAACTCAGGCAATCTGGTTCCAGAGTCTAAATATCTAACCAAATGCAATTCTACCTCTCACACTGAAATGCTACTTTATTCTTCTAACATTCCTAGTTCTTACTAAAGATCTTAAACTAGAATATAAACAAATTGTTGCTATTTAATTATGGTAGACTGAACCCAGGCCAGTAAGAAATCATGCAGTTGCTAGCAACTAAAATAGAGTGGTTGGTCAGCTCACATGGTAACCTCAACTTTAGAAAGATGCTTTAGAACCAAGAACTTTCTTTTTCTACAAAGTCTTTTTCAAAAGACTTAACCCCATGTCATTAGAATATAGGAGATCTGAATTTGAGTTCTGGTCTGTCACTTATTAGCTGAGTAGTCTGTCTATAGGAGTGTTGGGGGAAATCCTATAACCTAATAGATTTTAGTGTTTGTTGGTTTTTAAAGAAAATATGAAATAAAGGAATATTAAGAATATTTACTCTATCCACATTCCAGGAACACTGTGGGTCAAATGATATGTGAAAGTGCTTTGTGAACTGATAAACAAAACAAAAAGTCACTGTTTTATTATTTGAGATATAATCAATTTTCAATTAGGTTTCAGAAACAGGGAAAAACATCTATGCCCTTCTTCATTTTAATGACATAGAGATGAGGTACCTGGGATAAATACCAAAAGATGATGATTCAGAGAACCATGAGAAGTTTATGGAAATGCAGTTCTGTTTCTGGGAATAGCATTGTACAATCCAGTATCAAATAGCTTAAGACATATGTAAATGGAACAGTTGGTGCAGAATAAATACAGTAAGGGAAATTTAAAAATTTACAAGTCTAAGCCTTATAATTCCCAACCCTGAGCCTTCTTAGAGGACCTAAAGAGATCACATAATAAGCTTAGTTATGGATGTCATGGAAAGCTGGACCCGGGCCTTAAGTACATAGTAGGTACCTGTGCTTAGAGTATAAAATAAAAAGAGGTATTCAAGAGATCAACCATAGAAGTATTTCTAGGTATCTAGAAAATACTTTTATGTATATCCCTTTGTTCTCTGTAAAGCCTTTTTTGTTAATAATCATGTTAATTAATCTACTTAATGGTTAACTAAAAGAGTATCTCATATTATAGACTAGATACATTCCTTTTTGTTTTGTTTTGTTTGCACTAGATACATTCTTAAAGTCATTTATGGCAGGCAAACATTTTCCTATTTTCTAGTTTTCTTAGTTTCTAATTGAATTTCAGAATCACTCTCATTTCATATTTTCTAGATATTCTAATTACAATACAAAGAAGGTAAAAGAGGCAAGTGGGAAAAGAAGAGAAAGGTCTTGATCCCCAGCTTGACAACAGCAGGCTCACAATCCACCATTTACATGTATCTCAACCAAGTACCAGAGAACAATTCTTTTATTTCTGGAAAAAATCCAAGTATACACTCTAAGACCACATGTTCAATTTATTTCACCATTTCTCCCAATTCAATAATGCCAAATTTCTGTGTGGTGAATCACTTAAATTAACAACATTCTAGTAAGTTATTTTTTTAAATAGCTTGCTATTCTGAACAGTGGTAAGTACCAGGAGCTGTTGTTTATTGGGTTCCTATTCTGCATTAGGTGCTTCGCATACACATGTTCATTTGATCTCAATGGTCCAGAAAAGGAAGTATTATGATAAAAATGTGCTACTCCAAACTTCAAATCTAATAACAAAGAACATCTGAAACTAATGTAATATTGTGCCAATTATAATTTTTTAAAAATCTAATAAAGAATAATTCTTTAAATCTTCATATAACTTTGGGGCATGAAAAGTCTTACATTGATATTTTCTAACTGCAGTAGATGTACTGTATAATATGACTTCACATCTTCTGACAAGAACTTCACACTGAATCCTGTTTCTTTAAACAGCATCTCCCGGTCGTCTTTTGTTGGCCAGTACTGTGCACATTTAACCTAAATTTAAGAATATGTATATATATATATTTAGAATATAGACATTATAAAACCATAAAAAGTTGGGGGTAAAAACAAACCACATACATAGATACTATTTTTTTCAACAATCCAAATCTAAGAACAGTCACACTATATTTGATGTTTATTTTAATCTGATGGGCATTTTATAAGGGCAGGTTTGTAAAATGTTCCTATAACATATATAAAAGTCATAAACAGGTATCATACTCATAAAATAAAAATGAACCTGTCATTTCAAAAGCATAACAACATAGAGTAACATCATACTGGCAATTCCCTTTATGTTTCCAAAAGTATCAAACACTTAGAAGAATCTTATATTCAAACAATATTGAAAAGTCTCTACTTTATAAGTAGTTTCCATAAATATCTATGAATCTACTACTAAATGCTACATATCTAGAAATAACACTTCATATTTACTTACTAAAATTAAGTCAGACAAGAGTATCAAAAGGTAACCCACCTTTACCTAGAGTTATTACCTTTTGGCAGAACTACTAATATGGAATTAGGTTTATGACAATAAAAGCATCTTCCCAAAAGCCAAATTATGAAGCCAGTAGGCTGAGGCAAGGTTAGTCATTTCATTAATAAATCACATCATTTTAGAAAAGAAGACTAATTAAACTAAGAGGAACAGAGACATGAATAAATAAAATAGATCATTTCTTAAGAGGAAAATAAGAAAATTAAAATAAAATTAAAAAAGAAATGAAGTGACAAATAGAATTAGAGAGACATTGTGATAAATATAAAAAATGGGCAAAGAAAATCTAACACATATATAATAGGAGGACCCAAAGAACACCAAAGCAAGCAAGAGAACAATAAAGAATAAAAGTGTGATTCAATAAATTTTTCTTTAAAAAGAGAAAAAAATATTTCAATTCACATAATGAAAGAGTACACTATGCACCTGGAGAAACTAACCCAGAATGCCCATCATAAGACATATTTAGGTACAATTAATAGAATGTGGAGAAAAAAATCCCTTGGGTAACCTAGGTTAAAAAAAAAAGTGACTTATAAAGGAAAAACAATAAGATTTCCATTTGACTTTGAAAGTAATTTGAATGCCAGAAAGAAATGAAGTAATATATTTAAGTTGCTCAAAGAAAAGCTAATGTAAAAAGGAGTTCATGTCTTGCCAAACTGACTTTTAAGTATTATGACAGCAGGTAAACTGTTATCAACATGTAAGAAATCAGGGACTATAATATAATGCCTGTGAGTCCTTCCTTAGGATCCACCAGAAAATGACTATAGACAGAACAAATGGAAAGACATTAACAAAAACTGGTGATGAATATTAAATACACATTTACATGTACAACTAAGATTTCTAGTCTATGGCCATACCACATTGAACGCGCCAGATCTTGTCTGATCTCGTAAGCTAAGCAGGGTCGGACCTGGTTATTACTTGGATGGGAGAACTAAGATTTCTAAAGGGATATAAGAGAGACTCTAGTATGCTATATGCTCTGACAACGTAGGTAAAACATAACACACACACACACACACACAGAAAGAATGGAGAAAACAAAAGCTTTTAAACATTTTTCAGTAATTATTTTGGTGATGAAGTTGGTACTGTTTTTAGGACTAATATTTGTGTGAAATTTGGGACAAAGTAAATGAGTCGTTATAAAATATTCTACATCCCTAGTGTCTTTTGAGAACCAGAATGGAAGGTAACACATATAAAGTAGAACAAATTAAGCCAACCCCTATATTCCTAAATTTAATTTGGAAATATCAGTATAAACTCCTGAGGTATTATTATCTTAACATACAAACATATTTTTTCTCTGGCTCTGTTCACTGAAAAGCTTTAAAAACAATGACCAACCCAGTAGCAAGGCTCCTTAAAGACATGCCTGAGCCTGGCCGGTGTGGCTCGGTGATTGAGTGTGGACCCAGGAACCAAAAGGTCAGTGGGTCGATTCCCTATCAGGGCACAAGCTGGGGTTGCAGGCTCAATCCCCAGTAGGGGGCATGCAGGAGGCAGCCAATGGATGATGTTTCTCTCATCGATGTTTCTATCTCTCTATCCCTCTCTCTCTCTAAAAATCAATAAAAACATATTAAATTTAAAAAAAGAAATGCTGATTCCCTGAAAAAGAGTTTTAGAATGAGCCTTCAATATGTAGTTATTCCAGATAGCAAGAAGGCTATTAAGGACTCTTAGGTTTGTTTTAAAAGGACGCAGGGCCCAACTTGAAGAGGTAGCAGGAATCTCTTCAAGTAAAATGAAATTAATCAAATATTTTTTAATCCATGAGTTCATAATAATTGATATGCCCCTCCCTCAGACTAAAAGAACCCTAATTGGTCACCTGTTAAGGACACTAGGGAATCAACTGTTTTAAAAACTGCTTTTTCTATATAAAAGTGGTCAAGTAACTAGAATGAAAAAAAAATTTTAATATAAGTATTTCAACAGAAACTCAAAAAGGAATGATAAAATTGTAATATCACTATTTTGTAACCCCCTAAACGAAGGAACTAAGGATTGAACAACAATGGCTGCTAACATCATAAAAAGAAAGATAATCAGACATTATAGGCCTCTTGATAAATAACACATCACCACCTATGAAGTAATCATCCCCCAAATAATTAAACATGAATCCTCTTAAGTGTCTAGATCCAACCACCATAAATATGATCTCCAATTTTTGGTGGCAATCTTATCTTATTAATACAGTAATAATACACCAAAGTGAGGGCTAAAACTAATAAAGCATCTAGTTTGCAATGCTGCTCAAGCTGTTCAAACTGACAATGCCATCATGACTTAATTTTTTTTTTAATATATTTTATTGATTTTTTACAGAGAGGAAGGGAGAGAGATAGAGAGTTAGAAACATCGATGAGAGAGAAACATCGATCAGCTGCCTCCTGCACATCTCCCACTGGGGATGTGCCCGCAACCCAGATACATGCCCTTGACCGGAATCGAACCTGGGACCTTTCAGTCCGCAGGCCGACGCTCTATCCACTGAGCCAAACCGGTTTCGGCATGACTTAATTTTTAAATCATATTGGAAATCATGAAAAATCACTGTAACTGATGGTTGGACATTCTGGTATGTCAATGCCACTTCAGAGATAAATTGGAAAAATTTTCACCACCATAGAAAACCAGCAACTATAAATTTAGATAACAATAAGAATCAGGAATCTGAAGTAGAATAGTTCAAGATCTTAAGGCTGAAAGAGACCTTAATGATAATACTTTCCAATGTGCTGAGTTGACAGAAAATCAACCTAAAGCTGCAGTTAAAAGACTTAACCTACGTTATAGCAGTAATTAGCATTGTGTTTAGATTGTAATTCAAATTTCAAAAATTTCCCACTTACTATCTCATGACTGAAGAGCCAATAATAATCTATAAAGATTTTAAAAGTCTCATCACTTTAATCTTTTCTAAAACTTCCAAGATTTTTTATGAAAATAAATTGTAAAGATTCTACTAAAGCCTAGGTGTTCAAAAGTTTTATGTCTACTCCTAGTTAGTATTTGTTCCATTATATTTATATCTTTGAGGGTAGTAGTCTGCAATTGTTACTTAAATATTTAAGGTAAGAAAGGAAAAGCATACTTTAGTTCTTTGGATAAGAAACACCACCTTTTAGCAATTAAAGCCCAAAAGTTATGAATGAATATCACAAAAGAAATATGAAAACATTTATAAGTTAATGATCACAAGCAGGACACTAAGCTGTAAATATTAATTATTACTCACCGATTCTTTCTCTACAACTCGGTTTAGCATCACAACTGCTTTCGTCTTTTGCTCCCAAACCATGAGCCAGAAATGACAACCTGTATTAGGAAGTGGACCCTGTAAGAACAGGGAAGAAAAAGTAGATTAAGAGAAAGGTGATGGAGTAAGGCTTGAGGAAAACTCCTTATAGTATGCTTCTGGTTGAGAACAATGTATTGGATCATAATTGGTAAATGACAACTTTAAATCCACTTGAATTTAAAAATATATCTGGGTCTGGGTCTGGCTGGTGTGGTTCAATGGTCAGAGTGTCATCTTGAGCACTGAAGGGTAACAGGTTCAGTTCCTAGTCAACAGCACATACCTGGGTTGTAGGATCAATCCCCAGCCCTGGTCAGTCTGGGCATATGCGGGAGGCAACCAATCGACGTGGCTCTCTCACATCATGTCTGTCTGTCTGTCTGTCTGTCTCACTTTCTCCTTCCCTCCCTCCCTCTCTTTTCCTTCCTCCCTTCCATGGTCCCCTGAAAAAATATTAAAGGAGCCCTAGCCAGTTTGGCTCAATGGATAGAGTGTTGGACTGAAGGGTCTCAGGTTCGATTCCAGTCAAGGGCACATGCCCAGGTTGTGGGCTCGAACCCTAGTCGGGGGCGTGCAGGAGGCAGCCAATCAATAAATCTCTCTCATCACTGATGTTTCTATCTCTCTCTCCTCTCCCTTCCTCTCTGAAATCAATAAAAACATTTCTTTAAAAGAGGGAGTTTGTGCAACTACTGACCAACCAACCAACCCAAGTTAATTACAAAAAGAATGCCAGAAAAAGCAGAAATTTCAAAGTACCTAAACCACTATAACTGTTCATCTACAAAACTATAGCTTGTGTGACCTCAATAGAATTAAAAGGGGTAACATACTACAATGCCGTGAGGAAAAAAAAATCATATTACGTACTTCCAATTATCTTCACATTGTGTAGCATAGGGCAGAAAAAAGGACAAATAAGAGATGAAAGATCATGCCCAAATTATGACTAATTTTAAATAAGTGAAGGTAAAAAAAAATGAGATTTCAATGTACCTAAAGTAACTCAGCATACATTAACCTCAGACGACAGGTGGTAGAGTGGTGAGTGAGGGTCAAGTCAGCCTGGAGCTTCAGCTCCACAAGGAAAACAAGGTGACTCAACTAGTACCAGACTGAAAGCATCTGTATGGCAGTTATAGTCCCTGGTATGTAGGAGATGCTCTTAACTATTATTTGAATTCATAAACTCTAAGTTTCTAAGTTATTAAAATACTAGAATTCTAATGAGAATCCCAAGAATCCCTAATGTTGGAGGATACTGTTCTCACTCAACATATATTATCTACTGCTTGATCTAATTCTTAAAAAAAAAACCCAAAAAAACATGAACACTGAAAATGGTAAAAAGAGCAATGGGTAAGTCCCCAGAAAAAAATAATACCTTTTCTTTAAACTAAAAAAATGGATGAATCAACCCACCAATGAAGTCACTCCTAGTGTGCACCTACACACACACACACCACATTCTGTTAGTAGTTTTAAAGGGGGATAAAGGTTTATCTCTAAGCTCTCCCTCTTACCAGCAATACTACCAACTTTCTTCTGTAAAATGAAGATTTATACCAACGGGCTGATACGTATATATTTTTTAAATTCATAAAACTCAGAGGAAAAGATGATAAAAAAGCAACAATACAGTCATAACAACTGAGGTTATAATAAACATTTAGCATCTTTAGTTTCCTCTCCCCTTTGAAATATTTTCTGAGTATGTTCTCTTTCCAATGTACTAGGTACATGGGCAAGATCAGTCTCAGTCTTCATAGAACTTACAAAGGAGAAGAGAAGTGATTGGAATATAAGGAAGCAAAAAAACAACAACACCCAATCATCCCTGGTCGGTGTGGCTCAGTTGGTTAGAAAAGACTGAGTCCCAGTCAGGGCACATGGCTAGGTTATGGGTTGATCCCCGGCCCTGGTACCAGTACAGGTGGGAGGCAACCAATTGATGTCTCTTTCACATTGATATTTCTCTCTCTCCCCACCTCCCTTACACTATCTCTAAAAATATCAATGCAAAAAATATACTCAGGTGAGGATTGAAAATAAACAAATAAATAAAAAATACCCATTTCAAATTAAAAGACACACAGACAGAAAGTAAAGGGATGGAAAAAGATGGGGGGGAAAAGCAGCTGTGGTACCAATACCTAGTATCAGACAAAATAGACTTTAAAACTATTAACAAGAGACAAAGAAAGACCCAGCAATTCCACTTCTGGTTATTCATCTGAAGGTTGTTTAATTCTGTCATAAACATATTTGCATTCCTGTGTTCACTGCAGCATTGTTTACAATAGCCAAGATATGGACACAATCTAAGTGTTCATAGACCAGGGGTCCTCAAATTATGGCCCGCGGGCCACATGCAAATACAAATATTGTATTTGTTCCCGTTTTGTTTTTTTACTTCAAAATAAGATATGTGCAGTGTGCATAGGAATTTGTTCATAGTTTTTTTTTTAACTATAGTCCAGCCCTCCAATGGTCTGAGGGACAGTGAACTGGCCCCCTGTTTAAAAAGTTTGAGGACTCCGTCATAGACAAATGAATGAACAAAGAAGATGCGATACTATATACAATGTAATATTACTCAACTATAAAAAATAAGAATGAAATCTTGCCATATGCGACAACATGGATGGACCTAAGGGGTATTATGCTAAATTAAATAAGACATAGACAAATGCCAGATGATTTCACTTACGTGTGAAATCTAAAAAACAAAACAGAAACAAACTCCATAGATACAGAGAACATTTTGATGGTTGTCAGATGGCCAGGAGGTTTGGGGGATAGGTGGAAAAGAAGAAGAGATTAAGAGGTACAAAATTCGAAGAAGCAACCCTGTAGGTTGCTGGGTGTAAAAGAAAGACAAAGACTTTTTTCTTCAAATTGAAACTCTTTAATTCTGGCCTGAAAATTATCCTAGAAGGAAATAAAAAGAGGTTTCCTTTAAACATCTAAAAAAAAAAAAAAGAGGTACAAAATTCCAGTTATAAAAACAATCACAGGATATAAAATACAGCATAGTCAGTAATTTTTAATAATTATGTATGGTGAAAGATGGACACTAGACTTATCAGGGTGATCACTTTGTAAGTTATGTAAATATCCAATCTCTATGTTGTACACCTGAAACTAATGTATGTTAACTGTAATATATGAAAATTTAAAAAATATTTTTTAAATGATTTAGGATAATTATTGTTTTCTATTTTTTAACATTACAGTTTTTCCAAATAGAAAGTAAATTTTTTTAACTCTAAGTTTATCGAAAAATGTCATTAATGCTCACAAAAAAAACTTCAAATATTACAGAAAGGCAGAAAAATGGCAAATAAAAGTCTCCATTCATAATTCCCAGAAACTGACTAATGGTATATGTATAATTTATTTGGCCAGACCCTTATAGATTATTTTAATTCTATTATTTCTGGTCCTACGCTATCAAAATTAAGTTGCAACAAACATCCAGGCATATATGTTGATGTACATGTTTGACAACTGAGTATTATAAACTTTTAAGTCTCTGCTGTTCTGCCAAGTGAAAAGTGGTAGCTGATTGCTGGTTGAAATTTGTATTCCCTATTTACTAGAAAAATTGAGGATCTTTTCATATGTACATTACCTACTTATCTTTTTCTTTGAACTGTGAGTTGATGGTCTTTACCAGTTTTTTCACAGATTGTTTCTCCTTTTCTTTTTGATTAACAGGAACTGTTTTACTTCAAGCAAAATAAAGTAATTAATTTTAGTTCCTATGAATTAGAAATAATCTAATAGCTTACAGTTACATTCATTTAACATCTTTTTATATTATCTTGATCCAAATTGAGTTTTTAAAAATCTTAATATTATAAATATACAACTTATCTTTGGAATATTTAAAAATCACTAACTAGAGGAAATGACATCACTATTAATTAAGTCTATTATTTAGTAAATAAAGGTTACCTGGTATAGATAAACCAAAATAATTTCTATTATCTCAGAAAGGGAGAAAAGTAGTACTGAAATATAGGTGTGGCCAATGTGCCAAGAAGCAATCAGGCAAAAATGCCAAAGGGAACCGCCAGGCTCTCTGGTCTCCTAGTCAGTCCTCTGCCCTGAACAAAGGCCCAAGGGCAGGACACCACCTCGGGCGTGTCCATACTCTCAAACATATATACAAGAGAGGGGAGGAGCAAAGAGCTTTCAAAGGGTCTCTGGATATCACACAGATTATATGAAGAGAAATGGAAAAAGTTAATAAAAGATGAACAAAGGCTTTGTATCAAGTATAAAGCAAGGAAGATAATTTGCCTGAAAAGAACTGGTCTGAGCAATTTCATTAAAAATGTTTCCTTCACAGAATTTATAACATTAAAATTAATTTTACTTTTACCTTAAATATACAAAGTTGTAAAACATCATAATTTCTATAACTCATTACATAACATAGCAACAGAAGAAACTGAAATAGCATTTCACTTCCAAAAGAAGTCAAACATACTTTTATCTATGTTTTAAAGTCGACAATCACAGAAACTGCATTGTCAGTTATTTGCTCAACCTCACACCACTTGCCTGTGTTAAGATGTAACTCCTTTGTGCCTCTTCTATGTCCACTAAGCTGGCATTAATATAATCATTTTCAGCATTTTGCAGTTTAACACGACTGTGATCATCTGAAAAATAGAATAAGCCATAACTGTTATTTCAAACTTGTCATTTCCATTTTTAATTTTAATTTCTAGGTATCCTATCTAATAAAAAGGGAATATGCAAATAGACCATCAGGCCGTCACAAAGATGGTGGCGCCCATAGCCACAAGATGGCGGTGCCCAGTCCCCTCAGCCCCGCCCGAGTTCCCCAGTCCTTTCAGTCCTGCTGGGGGGGTGGCAGGTGCGCGGTGCGGCAGGACCCGCCCTCAGCCCCCCAGGGCCAGCCTAAGGCATAGGCAAGCCTCGGATGTCAGCTGCCCAGCCGCCCAGGGCCACCCGAGGCTCAGGTAACCAGGGCCGGCCAAGGCTTGCGCTACCGGCAGTGGCAGCAGCAGAGGTGTGATGGGGCGTCGCCTTCCACCCCTGAGGGTTCTCAGACTGTCAGAGGGGGCAGGCCAGGCTGAGGGACACCCCCTCCAGTGCATAAATTTTCATGCATTGGGCCTCTAGTTTTTAAAATGAAAGAGGAAGAGAACCCTAAAAATTCTACCCAAAAAACCTACTATAAATGATAAGTAAAATCAGTAAAGGAGCAAGATACAAAATAAATACTCAGAAATTGGTTGCATTTTTGTACATCAATAATGAACTATCAGAAAAGGCAACTAAGCAATAATCCCATTTACAAATGCATCAAAAAACAACCTATGAATAAATTTAACCAAGAAGGTAAAGAACTATATTCAAAAAATTATAAGATACTAAAGAAAGAAACTAGAGAAGATACAAATAAATGAAAGCATATACCGTGTTCATGGATTGGAAGAACTAACATTATTAAAATGTCCATACTACCCCAAACAATCCATAGATTCAATGCAATTCCTATCAAAATACCAGTGGTGTATTTCACAGAACTAGAACAAATAATCCTAAAATTTATGTGGAACCACAAAAGACCTCTAATAGCCACATCAACCTTAAAGAAGGAAAATGAAGTTGGAGATATCATGCTACCTGATATCAAACTGTAATACCAAGGCTATAGTAATCAAAACAGCATGGTACTAGCATGAAAACAGACATATAGGTCAATGAAACAGAATAGAGAATGCAGAAATAAACCCATGCCTATATGGTCAATTAATATTTGACAAAGGAGACAAGCACATACAATGGGATAAAAGACAGTCTATTCAATAAATGGTGTTAGGAAAATTGGACAGATAGATGACAAAAAAAGTAAACTAGACCACCTTCTTATACCATATAAGGATAAAGTAAAAACAGATTAAAGACTTAATGTTAAGGAGAACCAAGATGGCGGCATGGGTAAATGCCCGTACTCGCCACCTCCCACAATTACATCAAAATTACAAGTAAAATATAGAACAAATATCATTCAGAACTGCCTGAAATCTGGCTGAATGGAAATCCTACAACTAGAGAAGTAGAGAAAAATACATCGAGACTGGTAGGAGGGGTGGAGGCGAGGTACAGGCTGGTCTGACACCCACGATGACATTTTTTTAATCAGATGGGATATCTAGGCTGTGGAGGGCCCAGTGAGAAGCAAGGGGTCCCAGCCCCACACCAAACCTACAGCCCAGGGTTCCAGAGCTGGGAAGAGAAGTCCCCAAGCTTTAAAAACCAGTGGGGATTGTGGCTGAGTAACAGAGGAGGAGGAGGAGGAGGCGGCGGCAGCATGGAACAGGCTAACAAATCTCAGATGGAAGGGGAATGAGGGGGTGGGAAGAGATTAACCAAAGATCTTATATACATACTAGAGAGGCCCATGCACCAGTGGGGTCCCTCAGCCTGGCCTGCGGGGATCAGGCCGAAACCGGCTCTCCAACATCCCCCGAGGGGTCCCGGATTGCGAGAGGGCGGTTCTCAGGTGATGCACCCCAGAATCGGGCTCCCTCCTCTCTGGTTCCGGGTGTGTCACCGAAGAACCACAGGTGCCAAGTAACCACAGCTCGGCAGCTCCTGCATTGAGCGTCTGCCTCCTGATGGTCAGTGTGCGTCACAGCTACCAGTCATATGGTTGAACGGTCGGCCAGTCACTTAGGCTTTTATATATATACTAGAGGCCCGGTGAACAAAAATTTGTGCACTTGTGGGGGGGGTCCCTCAGCCCGGCCTGTGCCCTCTCACAGTCTGGGACCCCTCAGGGGATGACCACCTGCTGGCTTAGGCCTGCTCCCCGGGGGATTGGGCCTAAGATGGCAATCAGACATCCCTCTGGCAGCCCGGCAGCCCTCGGGGGATGTCCACTTGCCAGCGGGGAGCAGGCCTAAACTGCAGTCGGACATCCTTAGCGCTGCTGAGGAGGCAGGAGAGGCTCCCACCACCACCGCTGTACTGGCAG